GCGGGAAGGGGTGGGGGGGGGGGGCGGCGAGCTGGCTGCTGGTGGATACTAAATACCTACTAATTTTTTTTGTGGGTGCTCCAGCCCTGGAGAATCCGCAGAGTTGGCATCTCTGCTTCTGAGAGAATTGCACAGTACAATGCCTTCAGCAGCCACTTCTCAGGCACTGAGCTGCTGAGAAACCGCATGAGCACAGCTGAGTACGGGATTCTGGTGCTCTCTGCAGTTGGTTTTGTGGTGGGAGTTAGCACTGTGGCAATGAGTGCTCTTGATCTTGCCATCTCAAAATCAACAAACTCTCCTGCAGACTCCCTATTTGTTCCAAGCAAGCTAAATGCACCCCTAATGTAACTGCATTGCACTGAGCACACTGAGGATGAATATCTGAGCCATGTTATGCCTGAGGGAAATGTCTTCAGAGGGACAGTTTGTCACCTGCTTTTTATCCCTGCATGGAGAAAAAAGAAAGGCGCAAGGGTTAAACCTCTTACCAACACAAGTGAAGCTACCCACAGAGATGTAATTGCAATCCCCTTCTGGGTTTGTAGATTTCTACAATTTGCTGCTGCCTCATTTCCCTTCTTTGTTGATATTTTTCCAATTTCTAGTGCCTGGGAGCCTAATCATCTATTTATTAAAATAAGACCAACAATATGTTTGTGCTGGAAAACATTAAGAGGCTGTATACATTGATCATCCAGATTTAGGGCTTTTTCTGCCATCCTAATATTGCCAGAGACAAATTCTTTGCAGCTAATTACATTATTAATCCCTTAAAGCATTTGCATAAGGTATTTCCCAAAGATATGAGACCCTCCATCAAAAAAATAAATTGAGCAAAAAAAGTTGTGTGTATTTTTCTAATTAAGTATTGTAAGAAAGTAAAGGCAAAAAAGAGAGAAAATGCAAATGTTGTTAATTAAATGCTAAGCTTGCTTTCAGGGTCTAGATTTAAATCATTGCAGGGTATCCTGAAATTCAGTCATTCCATCTGAGAGCCCAAGGAATGGAAGGCTGTGATTTTCATTTTGAGCTTATATCAGACCAGGGTTTGATCACCACCGATCTTCAGGAGTATTTAGATCTGTGGCTTTGATCAGGACTCCTCTCTACTCTTAACCCTTAGAGAAATCCTAAATGGGGACTCAGCTATTACGCAGTTGCTAGGACTTCCTGAGAGCCTCCCAATTGAACCATGTTCTCTCACACATCCATATGCTGACAGCCCTCTCCTCCCCACACTGTGCAACCCATGAGATTTCCCTGAGCATCATCTTAACATTTGACCATGTAGGAGCCATTTCCTTACTCTCTTGTTCCTCTTGTCCACATTTGTGCTTCTGAAAATGAACACTTGTGCTACACCTGGGCAGTTGAGTGGAACTGATGGTGTTTTAGGCTCACATGGTGAATAGAGACACCAGGGGTCCAGCGCTCCATAGTCCATAAACAGGCATGTGGCCATTTAATTGCATGTGTTAATTATATGAAGCTAAATCACATTGGCTAGGAAATAGCAACTCTTATGTACAGTATGGATGAACAGCAAAGTTGTTTTGGAAGGGGTTCCTTAAGATACCAATAGTACTTGGCACATATAATGTGCCTTTTACCAAGAGATCTCAAGCTGGTTAAGTATTTTTATCTTCATGTTACAGATGGGGAGTCTGAAGCATAAAGATTCCCTGAGGACACACAGAAAGTGGCAGAGCCAGAGAATTAAACTCAAATTCCCTGACTACCAGCCCTGTCTAACCAACAAAGGGCTCCCTTATTATTTTCATATTTCTTTGGATGATGGGGAGCAATGCATGACACATCCTATCACCGCTTCCTCTCATTGCTGAGAGCAGAAGGCAGTCTCTTCCGGAAGATTATTTAGCATTTGCTGAAGCAGGAGCTCTGCCCATTCTGATAATGAAGTTTGGCATTCATACAGTGCTTGATGTGGTCACCTTCATTCACACAGAGCAGGCCTTTATTCACCTGAGGATCCCTCTGATGTGCAAAGGACCATATGCATGAGTAAGGGACTTCTCAGATTCAGGGACACCAACAGCCTCTGCGGGCTCCTGGGCAAGGTGGGGGAGGGTCAGTTCTGCGCTCCTAGAAGGGGCAGAGCCAGGGACAGTTAGCCCTCAGTGCTGCCCAGAGCATGACATTGCCCCGTCAGGCCTTTAAGCAGCATTCTGGTGGAAATTTGAATCACAGGGCCCTGGGCAACTGGTACCTTTGCCTGTCCTCCCCCTGGTGGCAGGCCTGCTCAGGTTGAATGACAGTGGAAGTATTGGGCCATTAGCACTTGTTGAGCATCAGCCAGTTAATCATTTGGAAGGTAGGTTAGCAAGTATTATTATCCCCTTCCCTCTTCTGGAAACAGTAGCAGAGCCAGCATTAGAACTCAGGAGTTCCTGACTCCAAAACCACTCCTCAGTCCTCCAGCTCACACTGCCTTTCAAATAAGCGCCATTCTGTACTCCAGCTTGCAAGAACCTTGAACTAATCAATTACAGGTATCTCCACCCTTTTTGGAAACACAGTGTGTACCTATTTTAAGGGTGCATGTGGAACATTCATCTTTTGTTGCCTCAGAACAAGGGGTGAATTCCTTGGTGCAGCTTAACAGCAGATTAACATAACCACAACAGACCAAGGCACGCAGTTATTTAAAAATAAAAGCCTGCCATGAGCATGCTTCAAAAGTGAACTCTATTGTGTGATTGAAATGACATCAACAACAAGAGAAATACAAGAAGACATTTTCTGAAATGTCTCATTCTCTGAAACAAGGCAGGAAACACCTGGCCTGTCAGGGTGTGTGTGTGTGGTGGTGATGGAGGGGAGGGCTGAGGAGGTGAGGGGGGGGGGAGAATGGCTGGTGGCATGAATACAAGCAATTCCATGATAAGGCAAAGAATGGGGAGAGAAAGTCCTGGACTCTTTTCTAAATGCTAGTGGGTAAAAAATACTTCTTATAACTCATTTTTCTGCTGCTGTTAATCACACTTGTTACTTGGTTGTTACATTTCTTGAGTCATTTTAGTTTTTCCAAAAGTGACCATGACTTGTTACTTATACTGTAGCTGACAGAAGTGACACACTTAATATCGGGGGGTCCAAACCTGGATATCTACCAGTGGAGATGAAGATCAGGTAAATGTGCACCTGCTCTTCCAAAAAGAAAAGAAGTGCCATTTTGGTAACTGCCGCTTGTACTATGAGCACTTTGGAAGGGAATAGGTTGAGTGTACAGTTTACCACTCAGTCCTGTTTAGGCCCAGCATGGTCGTGTGACAATGATGGTCAGACATCATGCCATCTACTAGGAGAATCTGGGTCTCTGGAGAAGACTCTGTATTCTGGCTCTAGTAATGGCTGAGCACAGATCCACCAATGCAGAAATGGCAAAAGCTGTGGGTCCACCCATGGACTGACTCCACAAAGAGAGAGCGCCATGTATGGTACACATCCATCTTATCCTCCCAGATGGAGGGAAGGTGCCAGTGGCCCAGGATGGACACCATGCTGGAGACGGAATCTGAGAAAGATCTGAAGATAGGAAAGAGCATTCACAAAGCATTTATATGTCTATGTAATTTCTTTTTACCTTTTACAGACACTTAACAAGAACAACTTAATACCTGATGAGCGGACCAACTTCTACCCCTTGCAGCAAACCAACGTGTACACTACAACCTATTATCCAAGTACACTGAATAAATATGACTACAGGCCTGAGGCCTCTCCTGGAAGGACCTTTACCAACAGCTGATGGTGAACAGACTATCCAAGGACTGGATCACTTCCTGTATGAATTGTTTTTTAAACTGAGTATATGGACCAAATATTGGCCCGGTCTCCAGATGTAAATATTGTACAAGTAGGGCCTCTTTTTTTTGTTAACTGTTTTACTTTTAAACAGCACATCTCCTTACATGGACAGAATGCTTATGGACCAGAGACCATTATGCATAGATTTTTGTGGATATTTGACTGGAGAAGACACTTGCTGCTGCAAATATTCATGGCTGGATGGTCAGTATATCTGTCTGAGACCTGAACTGCCAAGGAGCTGATGCATGCTGTGTTAGGTTTCCACCATATTACCTGCCAGCATGTTCTAAGAAACATTACAGATAGCTCCGTAGAACAAAGGATAATACAGCGAGGCACTCCCTTGATGTGACTAGGTAATGATGGTGCACTGAATGACACTTAGTTCACAAGATAAGCTGTATGGGACTCCATTATGCTAGGAACTGGATCAAAGTTTTACGTTTATAGCAAGGTCTCTAGCTTCATCAGAAGATTCCTTCCCCATTGCAGGAAATGGCCTCCATAATCTTCTTTGGGAACATCCAGTTCAACCAGGAAAAGAAAACACAGAAAGTTCTCTACCCAAAGAAGCATTTCAGAATATTTCCAGTCTTAATTAGAATTATACAGGCAATGTGAGATGGTAAGTGAAGTAAATGTTGGATTAACGGGATGTGGACATTGACTGCATAACAAAGATGTGCATACCACTGGAAAAAATGTGAGAAGTGCTGTATGCGAGCCATTAGCATTCTTTCAAACAACATTTACTTTTGTTCTCCAACCTTGATTCTGTTCATGTCTGCAAGGAATGATGACTGATGGTCTGGCCCTCCTCTTGTGAAATCACTATACTTGGGGCTAATTCTTATTTTATTATTAATTTTTAGTTCAGTTATTTTTTGAAGAGTAAGAAATTCTGAATTTTTGGCACGGTATTTTTCTAAGGAATGTATTCATTGCATACCATGACACAGAAAGTCTGCTGCACATTCTTATTGTGTCTTCCAGTCCGTACTCCATCCAATTATTATACAGCTGAATAATGTGCATTGTTTGCCAGTATTTCTTTAGCTTTCTCAGCTAGAAACAAATGAAAAAAAATCTTGCTCCAGTTATTAAAGTTGGACTGTAGGATTATTAAACATTATATCCAGCCTTGAAATGTAACTTTGTGTACGTGTGTGCCTGTGTGCAGCAGAAGGCATGGTGTGTATGTCTGATGTTACTGTCTGGCCAAAAGAAAACCTATCACCAGTGCTTAATGGACAGTTCCAACAAATTTATTAGCAACGTGAGCGAGTTTGACACTGTTACTATTGAATGTTTCTATTTATAATGAACTCCTGATGCTAAGACTTTAGAATGCCTCAATACTGAGCATGAGATAAGAGTACAAACCTAAACACACCTGAGTTCCACAACTTGAATTCTTTGTATGTGTATTATTTTAGCAACTGCTGTGTCTATTTTCATTGACTGGGATGTGTTCCAAGCAGTTTGGGTTATATTGGATACATATGATAGATTTCACTGTAAGCCAGCACTTATTAGTTTCTCATTGCTATCACTTTATAGACACTTGTTTGTAAGGCTGCAGCTGCTCATTGCACGCATACCCATACACAGAGGTGGTCAATGGGAGCTGAGAAAAGACTTTGCTATTCATGGCTCAAAACGTACAGCTCTCTAATGGATGAGGCAGAGCAGAGGTGGACTTTGTAATCTGATTTTACAATGTGGGATCACTAACAGGAGAACAAATTAGCCTTATGCTTCTAAACTATACCAGTGGTCTATAGCTGTAAGGAGATTGATTATAACAATTTCATCAAGGGTTTTAGATTAACTCAATGATTCCTAATCTTTTCTGGCAACTGTACCAAATTAGCAGACTGATTAAAGTTCTGCTTCCAGTTACACCAGTGTGGGAAAAACTTAATTGAAGTAAAATTACTCTAGATCTGTACAGCAGTATGACTGCAAACAGATTTTGGCCCCAAGAGTCTGGCTACACTAATTTCTTCCACCTCTCTGTCTGGATGCCTTCTAACACACTAAAATCCCAGTCTTGCAGTGTGAATAGAAAGTAAGACGATAGAGGTGCACTGGATTCTACAGATCATCAAAGTGGCAGGCACTGGTCACAAAAGAACCATTAATTTTCAGGGGGCATTAGATACCCAAAGTTTAGCTTGTGCTATGGAAAATTCCATGCTAAAGTCACAGGACTGGTACAGAACCCCCGTTTGAAAATTGGTACACTAAACATATGTCAGCAGTTCTAAAGAAACTATTGGTTCCCAAGATCACTGTAGATATTATAAACAGAAGTCATTGCTAAGCTTTCATTTCAGATGGTTCCCTGTGTGGAGGAGTTATGTTGTTGTTTACTTGGCAGGATTTCAGCTGCAGTTCTTAAGAGTTGCAAGCAAGCGAGTTAAACCATGCAGTTATTTTAATTTCAATGTTCTCTTCTTTTGTAGTTCAACCATTTCCATTTTCAGCTTTAAAAAAAAGTTGAAATTATTTAGTCTTTCAACTGAGTGAGCAAGATCATTGCTTCATTGTGTTCAAAAGGTGCCTACTTTGTAGTATAGGTGAGCAGAGGGGTAGGGTACATTTCCAGCAAGACACTTCAGAGTCATTCTTATTAGCCATCTGAATGGCTTCATAGAATTGACAATCATAGCGAGAATCTGTGGCTTCCATTCGAGCAGAAAGTAGAAGCAAGGGGGAGGTGAAACACTGCACTCTTATTACTCAATTAATGTTTGCATGAGAGTGCAGTTCTTTAAGGGCAATGTTAATGTGATGTGAGGGTTGAATTCCTTCTAAGCTCTCCAGTGCGGCTCAGGTTAATGACACAATATACAGTGATATTCTTGGATTTGTTTGTTTCTATCATGTAAATTGGCAACAGATCATCAGATCTGTAATACCCATAGGAGATTGAATTGCTCCTCCAGTCCGACATTAAATTGCTTAAATTTTCCATTCTTAAGGTCATATAAAAGTATGCACAGTATGCTGGAAAAACCCTTGATGCTACAGCTTTTTAACACTGGTTTGGTGCTTTTAAAAAAACTTGTAGAGAGAAAAGTTTTAGCAAGAAATTGAATTAACCTTACAGCCTCAGTGCTCTGAAAATATTTTAGGATAGGATTCAGCTGTATAGAATGTTGAATGCAGTAAGAATATTGCATCTAAATAGGCATGGGGTGGTATTTAACAATGTTGGGTTTTTTTCCCCTTGCTCTAATGGTTGCATACATGGAGTGAACCATGCTTCACTGTAAAACTGCTGTTTCACTTCACTGGATTGAAATGCCAAGTATAAACATTCCAGCTCTTTACAACTTGCAGATGCCTCCAGTAGATGTCACAAGTAAAATTCCTGGAGAAAGGAGGGCTGCTTGTTCTAAAGATGCATTTGTGAATGTTTGTAAATGTGAGCCACTCCCTCTTCTTAAACATGTAAAATGTAACAAATACCAGAGAAGATATGTATGGTGCAATGACTGCGATTCTTAATGCCTTATTTTAAGAAAATGAAATAGTAGTAATATGGAAATCAAGGTAGAGAGAGACAATAGAGTCCATTAAATGCCAGATCTGGTAAAGGTGTTTTAGGACACCATCAATAATTAATCTGATGAGATGAAACCCATGTGAAAATGAAATTGCTATCCATACAGATCACTATATTCTTTGTACCAACTGTAAATTTACATTTTATATGTATAAAAAAGTTTATGTAATGAATCTAATAGTGTGCATATCTATCAGTAGATAGATAAGGTATATATTTATAATATATACATACTGTTTCCATCCATCCAAATGCCTGCAGACAAAATTTAGACTGAGAAAGGCAGTGCTGGTGTTCAAATTCTACAGCAAGAGACTGAAAATAATGATTAAGAAACCCATGTTCTGTTCTTTATATTATCAAAATACATTTATAGCTAAATACAGTTTTTAAAAAAGTTAAAAACACAATTGATTTTTGTAGTTAAATGCCTGTTTTTCACAAAACATTCTGGCTAAGAATAATTTCATAGCCACTCAAACAAATGACTAATCAGCCTGAGGCAGCTGTGTGTATCACTCTTAAATGTAACTAAGTAGAGAATAATTGTGCAAGCAATGTAGCAGGTTAGACTAAAGGAACGAACGGAAAGTAAAAAAGTATTTGGATCTGGAACAAGTTTTCATTTGAATGCAGAAGAAGTTTGCAATTGTTTTCCAAGTAGTTGACTGGCAGCATAAGAGCTGAATAACCATTTCCACATTAGGCTCCTGTCATACAATTTAAGAGAGATTTTCAAATGGTTCTGACAGAGCAATAGAGTAAAAGGTAGCTAATGCCTTTAGGGACCTTTGTAATGCACTACCCAGCCTTCCAGATTACTGATGTCCGAGAACCACAGTGGAACGGCTTGAATATAGGTTACATTCCAGCCTCCACTGGAGTGGTCAAAACAGTGCATTGATTTCAATGGGTGCAGCGTAAGTACTAGGCCCATGAGCAATGGTTTTGCAGGATTTAGCCCTAGCTGAACAGTTTTGAGAGCTCGCAGCTATGAAACAGGAGAAGTCTCATTTATGCAAGTCCCTCATGTAAGTCTGTTAAGAGCAAACATCAAACCATTTGGAGGTCAGGTGTGGGTCAGCGAGACATTGACCAAGTTGGATATTATCCATAGCACTGGAGCCTTCATGAGGAAGGTTTGACAGAATTTGGGAACGGGTGACAGGGAACAGACTACTTGCTGATTCCCTGCTCTGTTTAATTCCCTTGTGGAGATCTGGCATTGGCTCCAGTCAGAAAACAAGATACTCGGCTAGACGAACCATTGGTCAGATCCAGTAGGGCCATTCTTATGTTCTTAAGGAAACTCAGAAAAACAAGGTCTCATGGAGAATCTGGCATCTTAATTCTCACTGCCAGAACATTGTAAGGTAGAGCCTTTCTTGAAGTTTTAGTTGTAGTTCTGGTCCCAGCTGCAGATGATCTGCCACCAATGCAATCCGCATTATTTGTGTGCTTCTAGAGAACCTACACTCCCTCTTCTTGGCTGTATAAATAGTTTTAAAATAAAGATAATGCTGAATATCTGTACCACTACTGAAACTTCAGTGGAATGGGGAATGCTGTGTAATATACAGGTCACAGCATGAGGGAGAGGTCAGTGTATAGTCCATCAATAACTGAAGCAAAGTGACTTTTAGTAGAAATATGGCAAAACCTTGGGAAAAAAGCCAGCCAGCTGCATGAGCTTGTGGGTTCCATCTACATGCAACTAATCTCCAGTAACATCTGGGTAAGTGTGTATTTTGAACAAATTAGCTATTTAATCAAAAACATCCTTTGTCACATGGGGTAAGTTAGGAGGGAAATTGGCAAGGACTTGTGCATAGATGAGGAGGGAGGGACAGAGGCAATACTGGCTCTTTGATACACAGGAAATTGTTAGCAGAAAACAGTATGTTTATCCCAAAAAGGAAAATCTGGCAAGTATTATTGGACTCTTAATGTGAAGGCACATCACCCTTCCTATGCAATTGAACATGATGGTACTATTAGTGTATAAAGGTGACCTAGACTGTAATCACTGCCTTTGACACTGTGAATTTTTTGGGTACTCTGTATTTTTATATATTGTACAATGTAAAGTATAATTCAGAAATAAAACAGAACCTCCTGAAAAGCTTGTGAATCATTTCCCCTAAAAAAATATACTACTGGAATGTTAAATACATGTTCGAGATGGCAAAACACATCCAACTGCAACTCATCAATTGGGCTGGGTTTGTATCTTGGACTATATATATAATTGTTATTCCTTGCTGACCACAATCCCCTTAGTGCCTGAACCATGATTTAGGATTGCATTTATCACAATTTTAGGCTGAATAATACTACTAGGTATAAATTTAAATTCAGCTACACAATGCAACACTCCACCTCATCAAACTTGATTGTGTTCAGCTCTCCAGAATAAAACTAAACACCAAAACCACTCCTGCCCCTCTCCCATGCTTTAGGTGCATTTGATGCATAAACTGTATTTCAGAATAAGGTGTCAAATGGGCTGAACCAAAACTTTCAACTGAGTGTGGGTGACATGCAAATCTAATTTTGCTGCATGACCTTTATCTCTGTTCTCTGGCTCCTATAGTACCTCTGCTTTGTCCAGGAAGCCAAATATCTAGTGTCCCAAGGACACTATTTTCTTAAAATATCAGGATATTAGCTTGCTCCAATAGGGGCAAATAGATCAGCATGCAGAGATTTTCAGTTGTACATTTTCCACTTGGATTGAGATTGTATCCTAGTGCTTTTGCAATTATTACATAGCACAGTGAAAAATTGTAAAAATGGGCAGAGTTTTAAGGATGATCATAGCCTCTTACTGAAGAATGTTATTGCCCTCATCTCATTTATTAATAAAAACAAAGACTGTAAAAAGTGACAGAATCGTAAGCATTTCAGTTTATATTTCAAGACCTCTGAAGACTAATATTATAGTTTTATACTGAAAATTATACCACACGATCATAAAAAATAGATTGGATTGCTAACAAGATGAAATATACTACACCTGCATGTAGAATACCTTATCCCTAGAAAATCAAGCTCTCTTTTGGGTGTTTTCAGCTGCTCAAGTGTAGATTCAAGAATTTCTTTTCAAATGCAGACCATCAAAAAGTACCTGAGAGGCACAAGATCAGTAAAAAAAAATTTGGGGGGTGGGGGGGAGGGAGGGAGACAGCTCAGATGGTGGTTTCCAATTATTCTTACACTTGAATGTGCACAAGCACTTTCTAAATTATTTTATTTTGAGTCAAGGCAAATCGATAAAGTGAACTCTCGAGTCTTAGCATGTTGTTTTTCTAGCTACTAATTAGCGTAATTAAAATAACAGGCTCACTTTGTTCCACAGTGCACATGATTCTCACTCACTTTCACTGCAATTCACAACTCTGTGCATTAGTAAAAATATCTAATAAATAAAAAGTAGCTACTGCATATGTGTAACTTATGAGCACTTTCAGTCTTATTGTTGGCTTATAACACAGGCCAGGTTAGTGCATCTGAGTTGGCATGGAGCTGTGAGGTCTTGAGCCTACAGGAGGCTGAGTGTTCTGGCCCTATTCCAGCAATGCACTTAAATACATGCTTAACTTTAAGCACTTTGAGTAGGCCTGCTCTGGTTAAGAGCTTTGCTGGAGCAGGGCCAAAATGTTCAGCCTCTTGAAAAATCTAGGATCTGCTACCTGGGATGTTACTAGGCTAACTGGAGATGGCTGAAGGGGCAACAAATAGCTACTGAACCTGCACATCCATTAGCAATGACAAATCACTTGCTGAACAAGAACAGCAGTAATGAAATCGTGCTGGAATATAGTGTTTTTATATCCCTGTTAAAATCTCTGATATTTACTATGTAACTCATCCACAGTTTTTTTTCCCATGCTTATCAGCACAATATGCAGTCCAGGTGCTTTATTTTGTCTTTCCCCATCTATTCTTACACAGTGGGGTTATTGTAAACATAGAAACATGCTGATGCCCCAGCTATCCAACCAAGATACACTTCAGCACAATTACAGGTCCTTAAACACTGCAGTTTGAGGATACCAAGTTTATGAACACAGTGTATGATTGATATATTGATTGTTAGTCTCCTTCTGCTGTTTAATTTTTGTTTTATACATATACACACACTGGGCACAAAATTTTTTGGTCTTTGGAAAATTATTTCATTAGATGTTTCTGGCCTAATGATCTGGCTCCCGCTGGGATAAACCCCTCTCTCACTGTAAGAGCTTTTCAAGTACCCCACTCACACTCTCCCAACTATTTAGCTCTGAAAATATAACTTCTGCTGATCCTGCTGTCACACCATGCTGCAAAACTGTTTTTAAATGTCACAGCAGATTCCTACAGTTTGAAGGTGCTAATTAGGTGCCTACCACCATGTCCGTTAGTAATCTCTGATTTGCAGGAGGCCTACGTATTGGCAAGAATTAAGCATTTTGGGAGGGGACTGGGCCTGTTTCAGGGGGTCAGTCTGTCCATGGTGCACCCTCCATAACTTTAACTGGATCTTGCAGCTTAAGGGAGAGCAATCTCAGTCCCATCCATCCATTCCAATCCATTCCAGGGAGCTATAGGACAGTAAAAGTTCCTGGAGTAGTCTGGCTGCCACCAAAGAGTGCTATCAGGAACAAGTGCCATCAACTTCCTACCAAACCACTGGCAGCTGCTGGGCAGTTTCAGCTGTAACTCTTCAGAGGCAAAGTATAGAACATTTGTTTTAGTCCCTTAAGGGTTAATACAAATGATGCACTTAAAATAGTTGTTCTCCAAAAATGACTTAATTCAAATTACCCATCTCTGGCTGTGGAGATCTTGCTGTTTATGAAGGAGCATAACACATACTTTTGTGTTTCCCCCTTGGACACCAAGGTCTATGTTTTAGAAAAAGTTCTTGCTTGCAACGTGGTCAGATGAGTATGGGTTTGTAAGCAGAAAATCATCTATAAGGGAGAATTTGCTAATGTTATGAAGGAGTCTGAGTCTTTTGTAGAATCATAGAACACTAGAACTGGAAGAGACCTCAAGAGGTCATTGAGTCCAGTCCCCTGCCCTCACAGCAGGATCAAGCACCGTCTAGATCATCCTTGATAGATGTCCATCTAACTTCCCTAGGCAACTTATTCCAGTGTTTAACCTCCCTGACAGTTAGGAAGTTTTTCCTAATGTCCAACCTAAACCTCCCTTTGAAGGTATTGAAAATAACAAAGAGGCCATGAAATTCTTCACCACTGAAGCTGCACATGAACGTAACACTTTCTTGCAGCAGATAAATCACTTGTTGCACGGACAGACCCACACATCTGCAAGTAGGAACATTGCTACTTTAAATCATTTTGCTTACAAATCCCACATCATCCTCAAGAGCTATGCTAGTCTGGGGACCCAATTTGGAGTTGCAACATTTAGATCTACAGGGCTCTTCACTCAGCATTTTACAGGGATCAGCTTCTTTCTCCAACTCCCTTAAGAGAGAAATGACTCAGATAGCAGAGGGCAAGCAGGTCAGTTAAAACACAAGGGGGTAATGTTACTGTAATCTTTGAACAGATGGAGAAGTGTCCTGTAGACTAGCTACTCCAGATGGATACTTTGTAACCGTACCCTGGTCTCATCCGCTAGGGATGGTATCTTAGGTGCAACTCTCACTCCGTATCTAATCACCGGAGAGTATATAATTTCTCAGGAATGTTAGGCGCGTATAAAATGAAAACTTAAGACTGAATTTTCAGTGAAAACCACAAGACTATATTATTTAACAAATTTAACAAACATTGCCTTGAAGGAACAGGTGAGGGGGCAGTCCCCTTTTTACACTAAATGGACCAGGAGGGGAAGTCCCTCCAGGCCCCTATACCTACACAGAGTCTACGGCGACGGAGACGATTGATGAGTTGCTAGCGACCTACAACCCTCGGGCTAATTGAAAACCTTTAGGGAGGACAGCTAGGCGTCCCTCGTCAGCTGATCTCGACGCTAGGCGACCTACAATCCGTTGGCTAATTAAAGCCCCAGGAGAGGAACAGCCCAGGAGATCCCCCGAAGCACGGATGGAGGACGAAGACGGTCGGTTCACCTTCCGTGAAGCCCTCTGGTCCTCGCTGCCTCTTCTCTGTGCTTCAGTGCAGCCGGATCAGGCGATTGATGACTCTGTTCTATCTACTCTAATCCTATCCTAAAAATAAAACCTTAACCTAATCCCGACGTGCCCGACGAACAGACACGACGTCGGCCGACATGCGTGGACCGACGCAGCCTGACGTACAGACTCGATGACGGGATCTAATCTAACTAAAATACTAAACTAACTAACCTAACTAATCTATTTGAGGAGGTCTGACCTTCCGCCAGCCTGACTCAAGAAAATACTATATTATATAAAATAGAGATAGCATAGCCTTCCACTAGCTTCTCTAGAAGAATATCTTTATAGGACCTCTTTCATACACCTAGGACAAGGATGACTCACTCTCTCTCTAACCTAGCCTAGAACCTATCCCGATGAAACAAGAACCCGACGCAACCGCAACTGCTGCGCAGCAGAGACTTAAATAGTCTGGGTTCATGCATATTCATGAGTGTTCTAAATTTGAAATGATTGGTTAACAAAGATGCTCTTAAAGCGTGGTTTGAATTTAATTGGTTGTTGCAGGATGCTAAGGAATATTCATGGCTCATTCAAATTACAACAGGTAGGTGAGTTGGTATTTTTAAACTCTAACTGCTACCTGTGGACGTGATAGAATTCAAACCTCAAATGGATGCCCAAAGAAAGTTCTGTGGTTTTCAAAATGGAGTTTCAGACTCCATTTTGAGATATTGCAGAATTTTCCATATTCAAGTTTACATGCATTGTGAATGGGTGAATTGACATATACAGACTTAGAATAACATCAGTCCTGTATCTTACATACATTATACATGGTGATACATTGGATGTTGCATCTGCTTTCATTGGGTTACAATACTTAGCAGTTGGATTGTTACATATTTGTTACACAACTGTGGAGTTGTTACATTGTTTTGCTATTCTGCTTTACAGTAAGTATGGGGAGCTAATGCATGGATGGCTTCCTCTGGGTCAGATCAACCCATGGACATGCAGGA